ACCACTTCTACTCTCTTTTGCCTACCATCATTTACATGAAATAGCTTTTTCCAACCCTTCAATTTCAGCCTATGTGTGTCCTTAAACCTAAAATCTATCTCTTGTAGGGAGCATATATGTGGATCATGTTTTTTTTGTTTGTTTATTTTGCTTTTGTGTTTGCTTTTTTACCCACTCAGATATTCTATATCTTTTGATTGGAGGATTTAATCCATTTACACTTATTGATAGGTTAGGACATATTATTGTCATTTTGTTAGCTGTTTTCAGACTTTTAAAAAATAGTTCCTTTGTTCTTTTCTTTGTCTTTTGCTGTTTTCCTTTGTCAATTGATAATCTCATGTGGTGGTATATTTTTATTCTGTTTCTTTATATTTTTGTGTACCTGCTATTTTCTTTAAATTTTGTGTTTATCATAAGACTAAGAAGCAACATCTTATAGTTTTAACAGTCTACTTTAAGCTGATAACAGCTTAATTTTGATTACACAGAAAAACTGTATGCTTTGACTCCCTCCCCCACGCATTTTGTGACTGATGGCACAATTTACATCTTTTTATATGGTGTATTCATAAGTTATTATAATTATAATTATTTTTAATGCTTTTAACTTTTATACAAGAATTTAAAGCGATTTCTGCACCACTGTAACAGTATTTGAGTATTCTGTATTTAACTGTATACTTCTCTGTACTAGTGAATTTTAAATATTCATATGTTGGGACTCCCGGGGGGGGGGCGGGGGGCTCAGTCGGTTAAGCAGCCGACTTCAGCTCAGGTTACGATCTCTCAGTTTGTGGGCTCAAGCCCGGCCTCAGGCTCTGTGCTGACATCTCAGAGCCTGGAGCCTGCTTTGTATTCTGTGTCTCCCTCTCTCTATGAAACTCCACCACTCATGCTCTGTTTCTCTGTTTCAATAAAAAAAAAAAAAACATAAAAAAATTAAAAAAATATTTGTATGTTTTCATGCTAATTGGTGTCTTTTTTTCATTTCAGCTTGAAGAACTCTCTTTGGTATTTCTTGATTTATTTTTTAGTTTTTTATTTTTTAATGTTTATTTTTTAGACAGAGAGAGAGAGAGTGCCAGCAGGGGAGGGGCAGAGAGAGAGGGAGACACAGAATCCAAAGCAGGCTCCACGCTCTGAGCTGTAAGTACAGAGCCCAACGTGGGGTTGAACAAACCGTGAGACCATGACCTAAACCAAAGTCAGATGCTTACCCGACTGAGCCACCCAGGCGCCCCTCTTTGGGCATTTCTTGTAAGGCAGGTCTAATGGTAATAAACTCTCTCAGCTCCATCTGGGAAAGCCTTTGTTTTCCCTTTCATTTCTAAAGGACAGCTTTGGCAAGTATAGTATTCTCGATTGGCAGTTTTTCCCTTTTAGCGCTTTTAAGCTGTCACCCCATTCTTTTCTGGCCTGCAAGGTTTCTGCAGAGAAATCTGCAGACAGTCTTATCAGGGCCATCTAGTTTGAGTCAAGTTTCACTGCTTTCAAAATTCTTTTTTTCTTTGGCTTTGGACAACTTGATAATTTTTTTGTCTTAGTGTCAGTCTTTTAAAATTCAACCTATTTAGGGGTGCCTGGGTGGCTCTGTTGGTTAAGCATCCGACTTTGGCTCAGGTCATGATCTCACAGTTTGTGCGTTCAAGCCCCACGATGGGCTCTGTGCCGACAGCTAGCTCAGAGCCTGGAGCCTGTTTCAGATCCTGTATCTCCCTCTCTCTCTGACCCTCCCCTGCTCACGCTGTCTCTCTCTCTCTCTCAGGAATAAGTAAGACATTAAAAAAAATTAAAACTCAACCTATTTGGAATTCTATGGGCTTCATGAATTTGGATGTTTATTTGCTTCCCCAAATTGGGGAAATTTCAGCCTTTATTTCCTTAAAATGGCTTTCTGCTCTCTCTCCTCTCTCCACTCCTTCCCCGACTCCTCCCCTTCTCCCCCCTTCCTGGGACTCCCATAATGTTCATATTTGTTCATTTTATGAAGTCCTATAAATTGTTTAGGTTTTCATCACTCTCATTCTTTTTGTTTTGACTAGATCATTTTGAAGGACTTTGTGTTAAGTTCATTGACTTATTTTCTTCTGTTTGATTAAGTCTGCTTTTGAACTCTACTCACAAATTTCTCAGTAGTTTTTGTATTCTTCAGATTCAGTATTTGGATGTTGGTTGATTTGTTTTTATGTATTTGCTGATGTTCTGCTTGTTCATGTATTGTCTTCCTGATCCCATTGAGCTGTTTGTCCCTGTTCTGTTCTCACTAGGCCTTTTTAAAAATTATTTTTTTCCTGTAATCTCTATCCCCAGTGTGGGGCTTGAACTCACAACCCTGAGATCAAGTGTCACATGCTCGTCTAGTTTCCCATTCCAAGGCCCAACATTGAATCCAAAGTATCCTACATTTCCCGCAGGTTTATTATCTCCAATGCATTCTCTGGCATCAACTTCTATTCCAGTTGCCCTTTTGGATTGCAAATAACTAACGCTGGGCAAAGAGAGCAAATAAGGAATAGACTGGAAGGATACTGGGTAGCCCAGACAATCAGCAAGTTCTCAAGAAGGACAGTTATCGGAACAGCTATCTCTGTACAGGAAGTAATAACAGCGCTACCATTGGAATGACTTCTGCATATCCTTCTGCTCTGGGAGCCTAACAGACACCAGGGTCAGCCTTTGATTGAGGAAGGGGCACTATGGAGAGTAGTCTCTAGCAAAGGGAAGGGATTTTTTGTTTGGTAAAGAAGGTTAAAAATACAGAGGTTCTTAGGGAACCCCAAAGTAGGCAGTTTGGCCAGGATCCACAAAGTACTGGGGTGGGGGGTGGCATCAGGAGCCAAGTTTCCCTCCAGCTGTATGAGTGTACTCCATGCCTGCTTGTCAGCACATCCAGCCCCCAACCTATGACAGTGGGGAATAAGCTTAGGAATTCCCTGGGCCTGCACCAGTGGGTTAACAAGCCATAAAGAATTACAAAGCCATAGGATGCTCTCACCCAAGCTTGGGTGAACAAGATTAGGACTCCAGGATAGAGCAGGGTGGGGGCAAAGGTCCCCAGGATAGAGGGGGGGCAAAGTCTCTTCAATGGGGGGGGGCGAGGCCCAATACAAAAGTATAGGAGGTAAGCAAGATTAGGCATTCATGGCAGAAATGCCCCCCACCTTAGTACTATAGCAGAAAGCTGCTTTCACAGGAAGGAAGGACCAAATTAGACAGACCGCTGCAGGTGATGCTGCCCAGAGAGGAGCTGATTAGCAAAAGAAAGATGCCTTGTTGACCCCGAGGTTACTGGCTCTGCCTTCTCCCCTAGGCCAGCTAAGATGAACAGACACAGCGCCTCCTGCCTGCTGTTAACAACCATCTGCCCATCTGCCGAGCACCAGGATTTAGTTTTACATTGACCCAAACCCCTAACCGTTAATGTTCACAGATTCATTGTCTCTTTGTGCACGCCCATCACGTTTGTAAGCCTTCTGATCTTAATAAACATGGAGCAAGGACCCTTATTCGGGGCTCTTGTCTTTTCCCATCTAAGGGACGTTAGCCATCTCTTGTATTTTAACCCTGCATCTGCTTTCTTGCTGGACAAAATGAACTTTAGACTTAGAGTCTACAACATATGACCAATGAGGTAGCCCTTGGTCTGACTGCACACTGGGAGCCCAGGAGCACCAATCAGCTGAGACCAGGGGGTGAGAGGAGTCAGATTTCCTGGGATAAACATGGTGGCTGGGATATGGTTACTTCTACAACTAACAAGCAGTGGAAGAATTCCTAAACAGTGTAAGTGCTGGTCAGGCAAGCCCAAATAACCACTTAATTCCCTTCTTTTACTTCCTTTTTAATATACTCTTCAGGAAATCAGTCTTTCTTAAAATGTTTTATTTATTTCTGAGAGAGAAAGAGACAGCAGCATGAGCAGGGGAGGGTCAGAAAGAGAGGGAGACAGAGAATCCAAAGCAGACTCCAGGCTCTGAACTAGCTGTCAGCACAGAGCCTAACACGGGCCTCGAACTTATGGACTGTGAGATCATGACTTGAGCCGAAGTTGGACGCTTAACTGACTGAGCCACCCAGGCACCCCAGGAAATCACTCTTAAAGAGAACTGACCCTCTCACCGTGAACTACACTGACCCCTCACCATACAATGGCCATCGACACTGTGACCCATGGGTCAGACATCACAAGAGATAACCATAGTTCAACAGGCTTTCATTTTAATATAAATAAGTTTCTAATAATATGAAAAAACCCCGAGATTTTGCCACTGTCAAATTCTACAGGTAGAATTAAATGAAAACTGTATTTTTATATTCTAAGAGTAGAATCCAATCATGTGACATGCAGATTAGAAGGGATCAAGTATTTAACTATCTCCTGTGTGTCATGGAGTCAAGGACAACAATTCCAAATTGGGCATGATGCAAACCACCGTTGTAACCAGCGGCGATCCAGTCAACAACCTGGCCAAAAATCTCTAGTCCTGGTGGAATTATAGCGTGCTTAAAAACTACCTCCCCAATTTACCGGGGATGATACCCTACCAAACTGCCGGAGATGTTTCGGTGGTAAAGTCAGGTTCAAATAAGGGAAGTGACTTCCCTAAAAACTTTTAACCTCAAGGAAGAGCTGGGAATAGACCCTTTAAACAGATTCTAAACCATGAAGTTAACATTTTTATGTTAAGGAATCACTCTTGTGTTTTTTTTTTTTTTGAGAGAATCTCTTTTTTGAGATTAAAAACTAAAAATGCTGACCCAAGTAACTGAAATAGTTGTGGTTATCAAATTAAAAAACATGTAAGTGCAGTTAAAAATGTGGAATCATGTACTATTAAAAGGAATTGTTGATATATGCAAAACTTAGAAATGGAGTATGATTTGTAAGCCAAACTTAAAGGCCTAAGGAGGCACTAAGCTTTTGGACTTATAACAAAAAACTGTATTTACCAACCCCAAACACTTAAACTTGACAAAAGAGGGGACTGACCAATATCTTATTTTTAACTTTATTTTTATTGTTGACACTATTACAGATAGATATAACAACCACAACCATATTAACAAACCAAAAACCTGTGCACAGAAACAAGATGAAGAAAATATATCAAGATGTTAACCACAGTCTTTGGATGGTGAAAATATGGGTGAGTTTCTCTTCTACATTTCTGTAACTTCAAAGTTTCTATAATGAACACATACAGTGTTTATAATGGTATATATGTAATAAAGGTGGATTACCAATAACACTGTGATAAAGACCACTGGAGGAAACCAAGACAAAATATTCCACCATAATCCCACAACAACCATACAACTATTTAATTGTTTTCTGTATTTCTTCCCATCTTTGACTCTATGTATACCTATCATCAACACCCTAATTAGAGACTGGTGCACAGACCAAGATGTTAACAGCAACTGTTGCTGGCTGTTGGGAATATGGGTGAATTTCTTTCCTTCTAATTTTACTGAATTTTCCAAAGTTTGCTATGAGTATGTATTATATTTGTAATGGAGAAATACATACACAAGATTTAATACCAAAACACCAAAGGCCATTCAAGGAATTTGAGACAAAATATTTAACCATAATCCCACAATTACAACACTATTTTAATTATTTTCAATATTTTTTTCATTTTAGACTTTATGCATACATATTTAACACTGTTATAATCACAAGCTTGTGCACTAAAACAAGATGGAGGAAACAGATCAAGATGTTAACAGATCAAGTAGTTGTTGGGTGTTGGGTATATGGATGACTTTTTCCTCTTTTCTAATTTATTGTATTTTCCAATTTTTCCTCTGGGTATGTATTATGCTTGTAATGGAAACAAACATAATAAACTTTGTTATAAGAACATTATCATAAGGAATATTTGAAAACATTAAGATGAAAGTGTTTAACCATAATTCCACAAAGGTAACATAACAGCTATTCTGAATACACGTTTTGACACAGTTATAATCGTAAGCCTGTGCACAGAAATAAGAACAAACAAGATGCTGAAGAGTATGTATCTGTCTTTGGATGGTTGGAATATGGAATTTTTTTCCCTCCACTTTTCTGTATTTTCCAAGTGTCTGATGATGTGTTCAAATTATGTTCACAATGGAAACATGATTATAAACTTTTTAGTAACACTACCATAAAGAACATTCAAAGAATTTGAGAAAATAATGCTCAACTATAAGCCTACAACAACAACAACACAACAGCATTTGACTATAAGCATACATTTTTAATCAGTTATAACTGTAGTATAAATATAATTCTGTGTCCTGCATTTTCCACTTAATATTCCGTAAATATATTTCCACATTGCTACATAACTCTTGATTATCATTTTTAAGCAGCTGCATACAGTCCATGAATACCTTCACGTAATAATCCTCCTACTGTTTTGGCATTTATTTCGTTCCCAATTTTTCACTAACCTGAGGTTGGAATGGACACCCTGACATTTGACAAGTTGTTTTCTGAAAAGGTTCTACCAATTAATACCTCCAACAGTGATCAACCTAAGTGCTCCCCAATAACATCAACGCTGGTTCCCATCTAAAGGGTCCCCCTCCTGTGCTGCGGGGCCTCGATTCTCCTCAGTTTTCTTGGATGTCCATTCCAACCTCACGTCCTTCTATGCAGCTGGCCGTCACCTACACCAAAAAGGCCCCTTCTTCACTGCCCAGGACATCCTGCTCACTTCACTCCCACCAACCTGGCCTTCCAAGCCCTGCTTCCCACGTTCCCTTCTGTCTGCTTCCTCATGCTCCTAGATCTGGAGATGTATTAGGGCTTCTTTCTTTGGCTTCCTCACCTCTGCTTTGTGCTCTCAACCTATAGCCTCCCTGGACTTTGGCATTCCCTACAGCTGTGACACACGATCCCAGAGCCCCTAACCATGCGGATCTAGGAGAGGAGAGGAGGATTTAGACACGTTCCCCCAGCACGTAGATTAATTTTGCTTGCTCAAATTATCTGCTCTTGTCTTTTGTTCACTTAATCTACAGATCCGCTTTTAAGGTTTTTTTTTTTTTTTTTTTTTAATTTTTTTTTCCAGCCAACTCAAAGCCAAAAAATTTAATAGTCACTATGCAAGGGGAGGGGAAGCAAAAGGAGCACAGGTGGTCCACAGAACAGGACACAGGAAACCTCAAGCTATGAGGTCAATTTGTGATTGAATGGAAAACTGAGGTGATTCGACAAACATGACACTAGTGGATAGCTCAGAAATACTTAGAAGGGCTGCAAGAGGGAGGAACAGATGGTAAGGAAACAAATTAAGGCTGCTGGGGAACCTGAGTCCATGTTAAGCTTAAGTTGACTGTAAAGAAAGCTTTTTTGTTGTTGTTGTTTTTGTTTTTTAATTTTTTAAAATTTAAGTTAGATGGCAGGGGGAGGGTGGGGAGGCAGGGGGGGGGTGGTCTGACAGGTGAAGACAAGAATTCAGGTAAGTGATAGAAAGCTCTAAGGATACCAGCTCCTGGGCACCCAGGGTGCAGACTGACTTGTGGCAGTTCACACTAATGAAGCCACGATGCTACTTGTCACTTAAGGCAGGAAGCGCACAAAGGAAGTGATGGAAGTTGTTAACCTGCATCCTTATTTACAATATGAAAGCCTCTCCCTCTGGTTCTCAACCGTCAGTAGGCACAACTGTGATCTAGTGATGGTTGCAACCCACTCTTTAAAGGCAAAAATGTAGGGTTTATAGGGAAAAGCTTCAGCTTTTGTAAATTCATTATCAAACACACATCAGGTTGGTTACAAAAAAACAACAACAACAACTAGTATTTTAGCATGAGAACCACTGCAAGGTACAATATGGCAACCAACTACTTTGGGTCACAAAAGGCCAATCCACATATCGTAAAGGCTTACACAGCATTAGGTTCCAAAGTGTCGGTGTAGACAAAATGGCTGAAAAGGAAGTTCAAAGCACTTCCCTTTTCAAACAGCAAAGAATAAAAGACATTTTACCTTTCATGCTTACACTTTCACAGGAATACTTAAGGGTAAGGAACAACACACAATTACTCGAAACAATACCGATGGGGACCAAATAATGCACAAGAAGTCTTTCTCAGAATCTAAGATGCTTAGAAATATATTCTAATTTGTTGCTCTCTTCCTCCTCCAAAAAAAAAAAAAAAAAAAAAATCTGAGTACCAGATAAGGTACCTCTGCACAGTAAACTGTAGCTGTATATCATATTAAATCCAAAGGTAGGTGATTACTGTTTTGCTACGATATGCTATTTTATATACACTGCAGGGAGCATTATATATAGGTTACAGAAATGTCATTTACAGTGGACAGGGGCAATTTCTGTGGTCTCAAAAAACCCTAGGGTTTTCCCTCAACATGGTCACTCAGATGCAAAGTATGTGCTATAGCTCTCCCACATGCACACACTGGTGTCAAACGGGAGAGGTGAGACCAAAGCAGTTTCCACCTTTGGTTTCTTTTAAATCTGAGTTGTCTGATGTTAAAAGTCAGGTGTGTACGTGCCAAGGTAAGTTTCTTCTGACATTGTTATGGATTGGTTTGAACTGTCTGGTTTAGTAAAGGTCAAGTTCTAAGTGAAGGTTTCCTAACCTTTATTCTTATGTTCTCAGCCAGTGTGAGTATTCTGGTGTCTAGCGAGGGATAGGCGATCACTGAAAAGCTGCCCACAGACATCACATTTGAAGTACTTGTCATCGGCCCTGTCGTTGTCACTGGTGCTGGAGCTGGCATGTTCAGTGTAGCGTGAGCTTTCCCCATAGACACTTCCAGGCTCAAATATTATCACCCTGGCGTGGGTTTTCAGGTGCTCGCCATAAGCAGAGTTGGAAGCGAAGGTTTCTCCACATTCCCTGCAGTCATAGTATGGTTCCTCAACCTGAATCTCTTGATCTTCACCTTCTTCTTCTGGGTCTTCGATCCCTGCCCCATCTGGCTCATCGGCGTCTCCCTCTGGCTCTTCAGCTCTTTCTTCTGGGTCTTCGATCCCTGCCCCATCTGGTTCATCAGCATCTCCGTTGGGCTGTTCGGCCTCCCCGTTGGGCTGTTCGGCCTCCCCGTCTGGCTCTGCGGCCTCCCCATCTGGCCCCTCAGCCTCTCCATTGGGCTCGGCAGCCTCCACATTGGGCTCGGCAGCCTCCACCTCGGGCTCAGCAGCCTCTACCTCAGGCTCAGCAGCCTCTACGTTTGACCCCTGGATCCGCAGAACTTCTCGTGGAACGAGGACATTGGCTTCTACCTCTTGGGCTCCTTCTTCTTCCTCTTCTTCAAGATGAAGCTTCTGATGCTTGTTGAGAACGGTGTTATGAATAAAGGACTTCCCACAGTCCTTGCATTCATAGAATGGTGAATCTCTTTTTGGGGGCTCAGTAAGAAATGAGGTGTGAACGAAGGAGGCCCCATAATCATAGGGCTCATCTTTCTCATGAATTCTCATGTGCTCCCTAAGGTCTGACTGATTGAGGAAGGTTTCTCCACATGTTTTACAGTCATAGTGTTTCTCTTCAGTTTGACTTCTCTGATACTCAGTAAGGGCCAAGCCTGGACTCACCGCATCTTCACTTCTCTGGCCCTGCTCTGGAAAATCCTCTCCAGTGTGAATTCTCATATGCTCGCTGAGGACAGAGGCATGAATGAAGTCTTGTCCACACACGTGGCACTGAAGGGACGTTCCTGCAGTGGGATTCTTCTGTGGGGCATGAGGCCTCTGTGGGTTGATGACCAAGGGCTGCATAAAAGGCTCATCATACCTTCTTTGGCCATAAAATTGATCTTGCTCATGGATTTTCTGATGCTCAAAAAGGAATGAACTATGAACGAAGGATTCCCCACACGCTGGGCATTCATAGAGCTGCTCTCCAATGTAATCTTTCTGATACTCGCTGACAGAATGGGTGTGGATTACAGAATGGGTGTACTCACGACTATCGATGAGATACTCTCTGCCATGAACTTTCTGATGATCCTTTAGGTCTGCGCGGTCTGCAAAGCCCAGCCCACAGTCCTTACAGCCATAGATCGCATCTTCAGCCTCGTCCTGCTCATCTGGCTCATCTGGCTCACTCTGCCGAGGCTCTTCTGGCCGAGGCCCACCCAAACCTATGCCCTGAATAACGGTGTCTCCAAAGAGCTTCCGACCATGGAGTTCCTCTCGGGCATAGATTTTCTGATGTGCACCAAGGGCTTCAAGGGTAGCAAAGCATTCCCCACACTCCCTACATTTGTTGCGCACTTGCTGTTCAGCATAACTTGTCTGCGCTTGCTCTTCATCATAACTTATCTGTGTTGGTGGCTCCATGTAGCTCGTTTGTGCCATTTGCTGTGCGTAACTGATATGCACTGGTCGTACAGCGTAACTCATGTGCCCTCCAGAGTAACTTGTCTGCGGTGCTTCACTGGTGTAACTCATCTGCACTGGCTGCTTGATGTAACTTGTTTGTGCTACTTGGTCAGAGTACCTCATCTGTGCTGAGTATCCAGCGTAACTTGTCTGCGGCTGCTGTTCAGCATAACTGGTCTGAGGGTCAGTAGAGACTAAGCTGCGAATGACAGATCGTTCATAGTTTTTACTTCCAGAGGGCTTCTTTCTATCATGAATCTTCAGATGCTCAGTGAGTTCATAGCTACGAACAAAGGATTCTCCACACTCTGGACATTCGTAGAATTTCTCTCTAGGGCGAAATGCTTGATGGTCACCAAAACGCAGGGAGTGAATGACAGAGGTCTCGTAGTTCCTACGCTCAATGTTTTTCTTCTTTGAACGGGCCTTCTGATGTTCGCGGACAGTTGAGGTGGGAGCAGATGATTCGCCATCCTTCTTAAGTTCATTGGATCCCTGACTAGTTGGATTGTTCTGAGGTTCCATATGGGATACACTTTGTATGACAGAGTCCTTATAGTTGCCATTTGTACCTCCTTCATTAGGGTTCTCTCTGGCAGGAGTTGTCTGCTGCTTATTATGACGGTCTGAGACAGAAGTGGAGGATTCACCCTTCTCATCAACGACTTCATTTCGACTGAAGCTTTGGGGAGGTTTGAAAGCAGCTACACTATGGATAACAGACCTCTCATATTTCTTTCCTTCGGAGGTATTCTCTCCAGCATGGACTTTCTGATGTTCGGTAACACTTGAGCTTTGAATGGTAGACTCTGCAATCACTTTTGGTTTGCTGGGCCCCACTGTACTGTGACTCTTCTGAGCTTTAGCAAAGGCTAAGCTATGAATAACAGACCTCTCGTATGGTTTCCTCTCATAGACATTTTCTTGAGGGGGAACCTGCTGGTTGTCATCAGGGTTAGAGCTAATGGTGAATGCCTTCTCGTCCTCATCCTCTTCAGGTGGCCTCGTTATAGTATGACTCTTCTGAGATTCAGTGAAGGGCACACTATGAATGACAGACTTCTCATACCCCCTGCCTTCAAAGACATTCTTTCGAGAATGAACTTTCTGATGCTCACTGAGGTCTGAGCTTTGCCTAAAGGCATCCCCACCATCTGTAAAGTCATAGAGCTTCTCTTTTGGGTACGTCTTCTGACGCCTTTTAAGGGACTGACCAGGAATAAAGGTTTCCTCACACACTTTACCCTTACTTTCAAAGAGGTTTCCTCGAGTATGGATCTTCTGATGTTCTTTCAGGGATGAGCTATGATGGAAGGTCTCCCCACACACCTTACATTCATACATTTTCTCTTTACCATACCCTTTTGGAAGATCACTGGGTGGTGGGCTGGGTTTAAAGGCCTCCCCACGCTCATTATCTTTGTCATCTCTACCATGGGTTTTCTGGTGCTCAATCAGGGCAGAGCTATGAAGGAAGGTTTCCTTACACACCTTACATTCATAGAATTTATCTTTCCCATATATTTTCTGGAGCTCACTGAAGGTTGGGCTAGGCATAAAGGGCTCCTCATACTCCTCATCATTACATTCTGCAAGATGCTCTCTAGCATGAATTTTCCGATGTTCAGCAAGTGCAGCACTCTTATTGAAAGTTTCCCCACACTCCTTACATTCAAAGCGTTTCCCTCCAGCCTGACTTTTCTGAACCTCACTGACAGCCACACTATGAATAAATGATTCACCATACTCATAGAGGTTCTCTCTAGTATGCATGATCTGATGTTCGACAAATTCGGAAATCACATTGAAAGACCTCCCACATTCATCACACACATAAGCCATTGCCCCAAAATCAAGTGGGTGAGACTCGGTGAAAGAGGGGGCACTAAGGCTGCTCATGCTCATGGCTTTTCTCATTTCACTACATTCAAAAGGTCTTTTCCTTGCATAGCCTTTCTGCTCATGCGCTGAGCCCTTCCCATCTGTGTCAAACTGATAGCGCCTTTTCCTTTCAAGAACTCTCTTTTTGGAAACAACACTCGAGTTAAAATTAAAGCCTCCCCCAAAGCCATTCCCTTCATAGCCCCTCTCCTGAATCACCGACTCCCTCTTGTTGAACGAAACTTCTTTCCAATCATTGTCTGGCCTTCTGGGGAACCTCTGGGACCTATCGTTAGATTCCCTTGCCCGTCCTGATTTGGAGTTGCGCGAAACGTCCTTGATGAATTTTTCCATGATCACCCCGTGGGAAGATTCGTCTTCACAAATTCCCCGCCGATGGGTTGACTTTTTGGTTTCAGGCATAGATTTTAGACCTGAAAAGAAACCCCAAGGGTAAATACTCCCTAATTCCTGCACCTGTAATAGTGAGACTTCTGTGATGATGGTGTGAATATAAAACATAAGAGATTTACCAATATGTACGTATGGCTCCCATCTCACTAACTGAAGTGGCCACTAAGTACAATCTGCCTAGTGCTTACCTCGACTGGTGCTCGGGTAGGCACTTCTCTTTGACCTCGATGAATGGCCTTGTGTCATGTGGGAGTGGCCGTCATCTTCTGCAAGCTGAACACCTGTTCACAAGAATGATACGACAGCTTATGTTTAAGTTGGGCATAAGACTCGTCACCATAAGATGGTGCCTACCTTCCTTGGAGCCACTAAACAGGAGGTGATCCACACCCACCTCCTGGAGCGTCTTCTATGTGCAGTCCCATGTCCTTACTGTCCACCCCTCTGCCCATTCTAGCCTAAATTTTAATTAATTCTCCTGATTCCACCTAGAAATCTGCACAGAGACTACCACGAGTCCTGAAATTCAGTGCATCCTTTTTAGTCTTCACCTTCCTGTAATCAACACTTAAATCCTGACACCCTCCTTTTCACTGGCTTCCAGGATTCTCTTCCTCCTTCTTGATTCTTTTCCTCTGTTCTCCTAATACCAGAGCTCCTCAAGGCTCCACTGCCTTGCAAAGCTCTCTCCCTTCAATGCCAGCCAACTGCCCACTATGCTAGCCAACTTCGAGGAAAGTCCAAACTGGAACTCAGGATCCCATTCTAAGTGTATATGTAAAAATCTTCACTGCCACCTCTCCAGAAAAAGCATCAATTCTTGTGGTAAGAGACATCTCCCCAATCTTCCCGACCTTGTATAATACACTCAACATACCCAAAGCCAGAATGATTTCTCAAAAACACATCTCATCGTTTATTTCTCTGCTAAAAATATTTCAAAGGCTTCTTATCACCCTTAAAATCCAAATAGGGGGCGCCTGGGTGGCTCAGTCGGTTAAGCATCTGACTTAGGCTCAGGTCATGATCTCAGTTCGTGGGTTTGAGCCCCGCATCAGGCTCTGTGCTGACAGCTAGCTCAGAGCCTGGAGCCTGTTTTGGATTCTGTGTCTCCTTCTCCCTCTGACTCTCCCCTGCTCACACTGTTTCTCTCTCTCTCTCTCAAAAATAAATAAAACATTAAAAAAAATTAAAATCCAAATAGATTAACACGGAATCTAATGTCCTATAGCTTTAAGAGTCAGGTGACAAAGAGCTCCAGTAACTGGGTTTCTCTGCTTACCCAGAGACAGCAGCTTACTGTAGTTCTCCATGTTGTCCTGAATCGGGTTCTGAGGCTTCCTGTCCTCAGTCAGATTCACAACATCCTGGTATGACACGGCATCCTGAAATACCAAACACAGACCTCTTGATGGAGTCCTTCCAGGGGCGCCCGAGAGAGAACGCTGGCAACACGGGTGCTACACACACACAGATATGTAGAAAGTGCGCACAGTGTCTGGGGTTCTGAGTGATCCGGGGCAAGTTTTACTACGGACCTACTGCATACCTACCTTGGTGCTATACTGTGAGGAAGATCCAAAAGACGTATGACACACAATCCTTGCCCTCATGCAGCTTATAATTTGGTTGGAGAGAAAAGACTCATGAAACAATTAGAGAACAATAAACAATAAAGTGGGGTACAGATAATCAGTGCTAAATGGTAGAGGGACTTCGGCGGGGCCTTAAGTGGTAAGACTCTGATGCAGAGGAAAGGGGTTGGTGGTGTGAGAGCTTCAACAGGCCAAACATGGACTGTGTGGCATGTGCAGGGATGGAAGGAAAATGTGTTTCAGCAGATGTCTGGTCAGGAAGTGGGACTTAAGCCACCCTCAGCGGTCCCACTGTGTCATGTGTTCACCTTCACTGCACACCATGGGGACATGCTGTACTCTTCCAGGCACAGAGATATCCCAAATAACCCTGATGGAACCCCTGATGGAACCCCTGATGGAACTGAATGCCTTCATTTTACAGCTGCCTTTCCCACTTAGTGGACACGTCTCTAGAAGTCATTTTCCAAGTCCCTGGATTATTCATAAGAGTCTTCTATGCAGGATCTCACAACACCTTTTCTTACTGATGCACTAGGACATCAGCGGTATCAGGGAAGCGTGGTCCCGGGGAGCACAGCACCGAGGCCTGGAGACAGACATAAGGATGGACACAACCTATGGGACGCCCACAGGTTTGGGAGCAAGAGAAAACTCAAGGACCAAAGGGGGACTGTACCATTTCTGAGCCATGCAGCCTTGGGAACAGAAATCTTTCTAAGCCTCAGGTTCTTCATCCGTAAAATGGAGAGTCAGCATCAACCTGCCCAGCAATATCATGGGGATTTTCTGCAATGTGATATGTTGCTTAAACACCAAGAAGAGTTATGTAAAGAAAATGTAAATTACTACACTACTATATAAAAGACATCTTGATATTAAATTGATTACAGCTCCTTGCTGGGAAGTGGCACAGACATTACAGCCGTGTGAAATGCAGAAACAAGAGTGCACATGTGCACACACACTGGGATTTCAGAGGAAGGCCTCATTGATGCAACTGCCAACATCCAGTGATGGAACGCAAAAACCACAACCAAAACTCAGCAGACCTTCAAAAACGAAATTCTTTCTAGGTCTGGGCTGAGAAGGCCTAGAGCAGCGCACAAGTTACAGAAGCTCAGGAGGCTCTGCGAACTCGGGACAACGGGCACCCCGTAGAGTGAACGGCTATCACTTTAGCTGGTTGCCCAGCTCCTATCTGGCGACAGCGCGTCCTGAGTCCCAGCACTGGTGTATTCTACTATGAAGGGAAGACCGGGGGAGGGGAGGATGGGGGGACACAAATGCATCCACAGTTAAAGGAAGGAAACCTGGGCTCCTGACCTGAAGCATCAACAGAGAAGGTAGATGAGGTCAAGAACTTGGGAGGTTTAGGGAGTCAGAAGAGTCACCGTCCCTGGTGTTGACAGACCCCATAGGCAAAGGCAAAAGGGAAAGGCTACTTTTCATATTCTTCTCTCTGCCTGAGTAAAGTAAGAGCATGTTGAATTGTGAACTACACTGTTCTATGAAAGAAAAATGATGATTAAAGGTGAAGTTAATCTCCCTAAGTGGGTATCTCTACAGCAGCTGGTTACTATGGATCTGTAGCCAAAACGGCACCTCAACTTGCAGAAGCAGCCACTGAGTGTCCCTCAAACGGGTGCTGCCTGGAAAGCAGCACGACTCCGACAGGTAGTGCAGAGAGTTACGCACATGCTAACAGATGACTCCCTGTTCTGGGCGCCTCGCGATACCATTCGTCTGCGGTGGCCGCCAGCCCACAGGCCAGGTTAGTGGCGACCTGTGGTGTCCAGACTCTCCTCCGACTACAAGGACGAGGAGCCAACCATCACCGGGGTCGAGGAAGGGTGTTTAAAAAGCAAAATTAGGGGCGCCTGGGTGGCTTAGTCGGTTGAGCGTCCAACTTTCGCTTGGGTCATGATCTCACGGTTTGTGGGTTCGAGCCCCGCGTCGGGCTCTGTGCTGACTGCCAGCTCGGAGCCTGGAGCCTGTTTCAGAGTCTGTGTCTCCCTCTCTCTCTGACCCTGCCCTGCTCACGCTATCTCTCTCTCTCTCTCCCTCCTAGAAATAAATAAAAACATTAAAAAAAATTAAAAAAAAAATAAATAAAAAGCAAAATTAGCAACCTATCATCTTTATTTCCTGAGTATTTCAACAACCCCAAATAAGGGCTTGAATCGTTCACACCACTACAGATGAGTGGGAACGGAGCAGGGCTTGCAAGCCGCGGATGCACACCACACCGCACCACCTCCTCGGGGGTAAGGGCGTATCACGGAGACTTTTTGTTGTCAAAAATCAAGCTTAAGAGTGAGTTTGTTTAGTATTTTTATCTAGATTCCTAAAATTTTGGCCAATTTGGTTTCTTCAAATAAGGTATTAAAATTAGTAGCAAACTAAGTGTGTCACAAACTTAGTTTCCTCTGGCACAAGGGACAAGGACGTCTGGGACAGAGGGATGCAGTTACCTCCGACCCCACCCACCTTCTTCCAGTTACTACTGCTGCGCGTGCTCTGCTCGCCCCTCCCTCCCATACACCTGTGGTCCTTGCTGGTCTCCTGGACAGAGGACCAGTGACAGAGGTTTCAGGGTGGGATTGGAAGCCCTCCACCAGTGGACACCAACTTCTAAGTGCCACTGCAGGCGTGCACTGGGGACTGACCTGAGCTCTCCACTCAGCTGCAGGACACAGGACACCTGCGCCAGGCCCAGCCATGCCTTGAAGCTGTCTCAGCTCTTATGCCCTCTGTGTTCCGCCTGCTTGGCCTCTGTCTGGTTCCTGCCCCAGGGCCTTCACCTGAGACCTCCTGACCCTAGCTTCACTGCCTTCAAGAAGCTTCCTTTCAAATCCAAATCAAGATCTCTGGACAACTGTCTGTTATAACCCTCAATTTTTGCTTCCCAGCACTCTGTGAAATGAGGATCCCATACAGTATCCTACGAAGGCTTATTCAGGGGACTGCTGAGTGCCTTTTGTGGTTTTAAGGCTCAATGTTTCCAGGGAGTGGGGGATGCGGACCACCTCAGTCCCCTCTGCACTCTCTGACCTGGGCGAGGTCCTTAGCACTAAGAGGAGATGCAGGCATGCAGCCTCCAGGAACTTGGCTCCCCCTTCTTCTCAAAGCCCTTTCCAAGCTGTGGCCCTCCTTCACGAGTGACCCTTCTCTTTACAGGTCAGCCCAGATCCCAAGGCCTTTTCGCGTTCACTGATCTCCCCAGCACACCGCCTCCTAAAACTATTGCCATAACTGCCGACATGTAGGCTGTGCCCACCACATGCTAGGCATCACATTAAGGACTTCACATATACATATGAATTGCACTCACTCCTCACAGCAGCCCTGCTGAGCCAATCGCCACATCCATTCTGCAGATAAGGAAACTGAGGCTCAGCTTAGTTGAGCAAATGCTCCAAGGCTGCACACCTAGCAGGCGGCAAAGCTGGGCCTCGAACCCAGCCCTTGCTAGCTCCAGAGCCTTCACTCTCTTGCCTGACTGCTGCGTGGATGTGCAGCATCCCTGGCTCCATGTGGTGTGCTAGAAAGACCCCCGCAATGGTCCTGCTTCTCTGGCCCCATAGGGAACCACTGAAATGGCCAGCGTACCACATGCCACAGCTGCGGGTTGGCAAAGTGCTCCTCTGATGATGCGGGTGAGTCAGAAAGTAGGCAGGAGTCAACCCAGCCACTTGCCACCTCTGGGGACAGGCCTGGGCTCCATGCAGGGAAGAAGTGTCCCCTCTGAGCACTCAGGTGGGATTCTAGGGGCAGATGAGCACACCCCCCTGGGAAAGAAAGGCATCTCTGCCATGAAATGAAGATGGCCTTTCCAGAAGGAGAGGAGACCTAAGCATACCTGGGATCTTGACTCATAATCCATCACTGTGTCCCTACGTTTGCGCTCTCTTTCCGTCGCAAAAGTTGTTTTCTCCATCAGAGGAAGGGAAAGGTCCCGTTGAGGAAGTCCTGGGAAGAGAAAAGGTGTCACAGAGGCACAGGGTATGGTGTGGCCCTGCATGTGCGTCAGGGAAGTCCAAGCGTGAGACGTACTGCCTCTGGGGTTCCTGGGGTACAGCCAGCGTTCCCGAGCCTCCAGGTCTCTGCTCCTGCCTCTCCGCTCCCGGTCCCGATCCCAGTCCAGATCCCAGTCCCGGTCTCGCTCCCGGTCCCACTCCTGGTCCCAGTCCCGATCCCGGTCACCTGAAGAAGCCAGACATGGAGGAGTTAACACGGTGCTGAGACACGTGGGATGGGGGCCCCATCCCCGCTCATCCCTTGAGGAGGCAGATCCCACACTGAGGTCTCCAGACTCCCATGCATGATCTGGGCTCTTCCAATTACCCCGGACCCGGAACACCACTTCCGGAGGCTTTGCCCAAGTGCCGGGTACGGCAAAACAAGTGCCACAGCGTGGGCTAGAGGCCGGTCCTCTGCAGACACTTCTGTTGTTTCCTGGCTCCTACACGGTCAGCCCCACACTCCGGACTATGACTTCAGACCCACCCGCCAGTCTCCACGTGCACATGACACTGCCCCAAAGAGACAAAACACATGCCTTCCCCAAAATCAAGCTTCCTTTTAAAAAGTCCACTGAAGGACCTTTAACAAAACTGCTTTTAGAGGCCAAGTAGTGATGAACTCTGCCCCTCCTGGGGAGGCTGTGGGCACAGCTTTAAACAGCCCGCTGCCAATTTGAAACAGCTTGAAATACTTTCTCATTATTAAAAAAACATTTGTTTCATACTGGTACCTGCTCAGATATAAAAAATGTCTCATTGCATCATCAACTGACGTTCCCCTCAGATCTGCACTGCTGTGTCCACTGAGAGCACCAGGCCCACCATGCACTGCCAGGCACTGGGTCAAGCGGGTGGCCAGGGAAGCTGAGCCCAAGTCTACCCCAACAGTGCTGCAACCTGACAGGGTTACTCACTGCAGAAAGAGGCGGCGGAGCGTGGAGGTGGGGACTCTGCTCCCTTCCGGCTTATGCTGTCTTCGCTGCGCAGGTCACTGCTGTTGTCATCTGAGAGGACACAAACGCTGACTTAATGCTTTATCACCTCTCACCTGTGTTCTCGAAAAAGCTCCCCCACGTGGAGCCCACCCTTGCCCCGACCACACGATCCCCTCACTCCCATGGGAAGCTGAAGTGATCTGATCCCTGCGTTTCTCAGCTTCCTACCACACCCGGGCAGCCTATGTGGCTGCCACCGCCCTCCCCTCCCCTTTACACAGCAGCACAACTCTCTGCGGTAACACACCCTTTGTGTCATGAAAGGGGGCCTGGGCCAGGGCCATGAGGTACACAGAGGCCCTCACTGAGGTGTGCCCTTCCTGCCCACGCCACCTTAGGGTGGCAGTTCTTACTGGAGCACTCTACTCCCCAGAGACATGCGGCAACATCATGTCTGGTTGTCACAGCTGGGGAGGGGGTGCAACCAGCATCCTGTGGGTAGGAGAGAGGGGCCAGGGGTATGTCACTGCACATCCTATGACAGGCTGGCACCCCATGAAGAGAGTGATCTGGCCTTGACCACCAGTGGTGCCATGGCTGCGAACCCCAGGGAGATCATGGCTCTCCGACGACCTCCGTGCCTCACCTCCTGGCTCATACATCTCCTTGTAATTTTCCAGCAGAGTAACTAGCTTCTCACAGTTCTCTGGCTTTTTTGCCCGCACCCATGGCTTGATCTTTTCTGGAAGGATGGTCAGGTACTGTTCAAGGACCAAGAGCTCGATAATCTCTTCCTTGGTGCGAGTCTGTGGCTGCAACCAATCGAGGCAGAGGTTTCGGAGTTTGAACAGCGTCTTCCGAGGCCCAACAAATTCCACGTAGAGGAAATTCCGAAACCTCTGATGAAAGAATTCCGGGTCAGTTGCACCTTCTCTTATGGTGGCATCCGGCTCCTTAGTCAAGTCACTGTCTAGTTCTTGTACATCTGGGGCCCATGACTTCTTGGGTTTGGTAGCAGACAAGTACTTCGGAGGCAGCATTTTTCTAAGTGAAATCTTCACTGGAGGAACCAAACATGAATCAAAAGGAAAGACACGGCAGTCTGTGACGGTCTCGGGGACCTGTAGATCGCAATGAGATATACACATGTCCCAGAAGGTGAGATGAGGCAGCAGTGTGGGGCTGCCCTACATGGGCATCAATAATGCTCTGTGAACAAACCCCAGGGGCAGAGAGGCACAGTCTCGCACTATACAGATGCACATGTGGCACACAAACACAGCCTCTCATAGGGGTTCCAAGCATGACTTGCTTGAGAGTCAGCTCTGCTACTAACTGGTGTCATCCCTATGGGCAACTATTCAATGTCCTAGAGTCTGTCCCCTTACCTACTCCAGGGGAACAACAGTCCTCAACCCTTTTAGAACGTGAGGTGAAATAAGCTAATATCCTAAAAGGCCTGCCTACCCACTGCCCACACATGAGAGAGGCTCAAGGTGCTAGGCATCACTAAAAGCAAAGGTCAATTTTTTTCTCAGCAAAAATGGAAAAGGGGATACAGGGAACAAGGGTCAAATCTGCCATTTCTGATGATTTCTGAATGTCTCCAACACTGTGGAAAGTTCTACTGGCCAGAGTGGTAGAGTCTGCAGGTTCGCTCAGGACACCTTCTGTCGGCACTGCACACCCTTCTGACAAATGCCTGTCCCGAACCCCAGCCTCGGGCTCTGCTGACGCCTCCTCCTTGGGTAGGTTTCCTGAGCTGCACTATTCACCTCTCAGGTGTTGCAAGCACTCCTATGTATTTTTAACTACTGGAGTTAACTTGCCCCTCTCCACAGCCTCAACTATAAACTCTACTCCAGGGATTAGAGACTAACTTTTTCAGCCCTGTATCCTCTAGTGCCTGCCTGGCACAAAGTCAGGTACCAACCCTGATAGAACATACTGAAATTAACGGGCACAAACCCATTTTAAAAATTGATTTTAGAGGCACCTGGGTGGCTCAGTCAGTTAAGCGTCTAACTCTTGGTTTCGGCCCAGGTCATGATCTCACGGTTTTGTGAGTCTGAGCCCCACACCGGGCTCTGTGTTGACAGCATGGAGCCTGCTTGGGATTCTCTCTCTCCCTCTCTCTCTGCCCCTTCCCTGCTCATGGTGTCTCTCTCAAAAATAAACAAACTTGAAAAATAAATAAAATAAAATAGGTTTTAGACATAGGCATGCATTAAAACGTGGCTGAAGAAGCATAGCTAAGTTTCTGGGGAGAGAGAACATCCTGGATTAACCTCTATGCCCTTGCTTCCAAAGAACATTCTGGCGTGTCACCCACCCTCACCTGCCCACTTTTCTACCAGCCCCTCTAGGAAAGAACCAGCTTTGGGGCACCTGGGTGGCTTAGTCGGTTAAGCGTCCGACTTTCGCTTAGGTCATGATCTCGCAGTTCGTGGGTTCGAGCCCCGCGTCGGGCTCTGTGCTGACTGCCAGCTCAGAGCCTGGGGCCTGTTTCAGAGTCTGTGTCTCCCTCTCTCTCTGACCCTCCCCTGCTCACGCTGTCTCTCTCTCTCTCTTAGAAATAAATAAAACATTAAAAAAAAAAAAAAAAAAAAAAAAAAAAAAAAAAAAAAAAAGAACCAGATTTGATAATCCTCTGTATTGCTTCATTTATTTCCCATTTATTTCCCTTCATTTATTTCATTTCTTTTTTTCTTTTATTATCCGCCTCTTCATTTTAGAAAAACCTTTTAGACTGAGTTTAAAAGCTGATTTTCATTTTTTCTAATGCAATCAATTAAGGCTATACATTTCCCATTACCTAAACCATCTCCCCATGTGGACAGCCACAAATGGTATGAGAATGTAGACAATATGGGAAAAAATCTAGGTTTGGGTGAATTTAGATGAATTAATTCACCTGACACTTTGAACTTCTGGCTTCACTTCCAAGGAAGAACAAAACAATATGCAGTAAAAATTTTATGCTTTTGTTTTAAATGTTAAACCAGTAAGTTTAAAATAAAGGTTCTTTTTTTTTTTATAAAGAGAAAAAAAGGTGTTTCATATGTTATTTGTGAATAAACCTAGCAAACTCTGCCATGCCATTTCCCCCCTGCAGTGACAGGCTTCCACTCTGCTCATGCAGAAACACCCCTACCCCCGCCATGCTTTCTCCCACAGCTCTCCTCTGATGCATCAACCTTCACACACACACGCACGCACGCACACCTATCATGAAGACCCTTGGGAATCAAGTACTGCCTCTCTGTCTGCCCTGCCCTTCTTGAGGATGGGTGACAGAGGGGAGGACACGAGATGGCACTCTGCTTGGCAGAAGACTTCCAAAGTCAGGGAAGGAAAAGGGCAAGTGTCCAGGCTCTGGGGACTGGAGCGATGCCTGGCTAAGAGGGACAGAGTGCACTACCCTCATCAGGGCAGTGCTCTGCAACCCAGCAGGCCTGAATGGCAAAGACGAAAGGGCTGGAAGCCCAAGCCTGCTCTTCAGCACCCAGATCCCAGAGGAAACTCTAGTCCCATAGTAGACACTAGTCCAACTTCTCAGAGGAAACAGGATACCTTCAGGTATGTAAATCACCTGTTTGAGAAGAGGATCCTTTCCAGAACTTCAGAACAAGCAGCTTTCTGCAGGAACAGGGTCAAAATGGCAGGGACCTGCAGACATTTTAAAGAAAAAAAACCACATGGACAAATAAACATGGAAGAAATGCAAAAAGAGTGTCAGAGAATTAATTCTCCAAATGGCTGTGAACACAGATAGCATCAGAAGTGAGGCATTATATATCACCTTCAAGAAAAGGCCAATTCCAAGGTCGTAAACCAACCAAAGAGAAATAGAGAGGTTTCCCAATGTTTTTATGAAATCAGAATAATTTAAAAAGCCAATACAAAACTAGCACTAACAAACCACCGACCAAATTCAGTTATAAAAGGAGACAAAAGTCTCTAGCACTATCACTGTTGAACACTATTCTACAGAGTTCCAGCCAGTTACAACAAAGCAAGAAAAACCTGAGACATAAAGAAAGATCTAAAACTATCATTCTCTTTCATTTAAGAGTGTCCGCTCAGATACTGTGAATCAATGGAAACAGACCTTACAATAATTTAATAAGGAACTCACAACAGGCTCCCTAAATATGTATCAGCAATTAAAAATTCTAAAAAGTGGGAAGAGAACTGCCATTATAAAGACAGAAAAGATTTAATGAAAGACAACAGCATCCACATGGATAATGTTACAAACTATAATAATAAAAGGCAGTAACTGGAGACATGGGATAATCATGGGAATGTATGTATTTGGCATATTAAAGTTCTAAGACCTCCCCCAAGTTAATCTATATAATTTAATGGAACTTCGAAAAATATTAATGTTGCCGAACTTGGTGATGGTTCCAAAGTTGACCTGGAAGAGTTCCACTTGATCAATATTTTGAAAATTCATTTATCAAAAGGCCAACAAACCATACACAAAATTTAAGGAATATTTTCACATAATCTCAGGGTAAGAAAGTTCGTTTATAATCCACCTAAAGGAGAAAGACTACATAAGAATAACAATGATGGTTCTGTGTATACCATCAAAACCCAAGAAATAAAACAACAAAAAAGACCTACTTATAACTTATGACAAGAAACTGGATTCACTTAGGAATCATGGTCTAAGTTGACCACACAGTAGTCAGGTATCCAGCAGTGACCTGAAAAGTGGCATTTACAAACCAATAAGGAATGTACACATTACTTCAGTAGTAGGAAAACTAGCTGATCTTTCACCTGGGGGAAAGGGTCATACCACATATAAAAACGCTAAAATCCAAGTAAAAGACTACTTTTTAGAATTATAGAGCAGAAAAGGGCTCTTCTAACTAGACGATAAAATTGGGAGATAGTAAGGACAACTTTGACTTCATACATGCACTTCTTTACTATGGTAATTTTTCTTTCCAGTAGACATGTATTTGAAGTGTAAACCACCAGTAGGTGAAAACTCTATACAATAACTGTAAGATGAAAAGGTTTGACAGGGAATCAGTAACTTTTCTAAGAGAATACAGACAGGCAAACCTCAGAAAGCAGAGGAAAATCTAGGGAAGAAATTTAAAAAAATGAAATGATTTAAGGGGCAACTTCCATTAAGATTTCCATGAGCAATGAACTCACTATGTTATAAAAACCCTTCCAGAACACAGAAAATAGATGGAGGAAATTCTACTCATTAATAATCTGTCTGTTTAAATGCCCTTAAGAATCCTGTCATAAGGTACATGCCAAATTCTACACCAAAAATTCATTCATTTCTTTTCTCAAGAAATTCAGGACTAGAGCAAACAAATATGATCTTCTTTAAATGTCCTTAAGATTTTCTAACCAGGGCAACAGAACAGCCCTTAGTCAGCAAAAACATTAAATTTTTTTTTTAAATTAACAGGAAAACCTTAAAAAAAAAGAATCAGGCCCTAACAACTCCTTCCCACAAATGCAGAGGAGGTTCATTTCAGATCTGAGAGTAAAAAAGAACAGAGTAATCATAAAGATGGACAATATAAGTATGTGTATATTGTACTGGGCGTACCCACATAGTGCTTGTGGCAATGGAGATTTTATAGAGCGCAATTTGGATAACTCCTTGAAATTTTAAATGTATATACCCTGTCCTATAAATTCTATTGCCATGAATTTATCCCAGAAATACATAATGACATATGTGCAAGAATATAATCATTGAAGTAGTCCTGACAATGCACAAAATATGGTACATATTCATGATTATGAAACCTTTTAAAATAATGAGGCAATCGGAAATAAACAGATATGAGATGACCTCTAACGGAGTTAAGTGCAAAATGGGGCACGAAAATGTGTAGAGCACTCTTAAGAAACTATAAAAACAGATGTGTTTACTTAAACAGACTATTTCTGTAATAATATATATAAGACTAGTAATAGCGATTAATAGTGATCACCCGTGGGGAAGGGAACTGGAGGCCAGGGAAAGAAGGGAAACTTACTTTTTCACTGTATAGTCTCCTTTTGTTTTTTGTTTTTATTTACTTATTTTTTACCATGAGCATGTATTACCTAGTCAAAAAAATAAATTAAAGTTAAAACAAAACAATCAACAAAAGCACTTGTAGAGGCCTTAGAGACCGTTCCACCCACTAAGTGAGTTCGTGCAACCGTGATGCCTGAACACCGAGGGGGGTCTCTTCCCTTCCCTGCCCATCACGCCCTGCTGAAGCCCAAGGTCATATCCTAAACCAGGCAATTTAGAGAACCCCAAAGAATCAACTCTGGAACTCTGAAACCAAGAATCACATACAGAAATTGCAGCTGTAAGTTGACTATACTCCCCAGATCTCCAGCAATTATTAATACCTAAATGCAAGGTCATCCCTTATCCTAGGGATTCCACTGAATCTGAAATCTAACTGATAGACCTGTCTGCCCATGGGGACAGAGATACAGGTGTGTTCACAGAGGCACTGTGTGCAACAGCAAAGAACAGGGATGGGGAGAAGAATGCCCAAGCAGAATTCCAACAGCAAAGCCCACCGAAAGACCACTACTCAGCAGACAGGAAAATAAAAATGGGTACAAATTTTCTGCACTATAAAAAGCAACCAAAATAAAAACAAACCATAAAAGGAGGGGGAAAATATTTTGCAACATAGATGACAGTTAATATTTCAAATGTGAGAAGCTCTTAGAAAGCAATAAGAGAAACGTCACCCCGTGAAAATAAAAGATACAGTCCATAAAATTAGTGATAATTTCTAACAATCTCATCAGAAATCAAAGAAATGTGAAATATTATAGTGAACACTTTTTTGGCCCATCAAATGGGCAGATATTTCAAAAAGAAAAATCAAAAGGAAAAACTGATGTTGGTGAGAAGCTGGCTGGTACAGGTATGAACCGTAATTCTGGATGCCATTTCAGCCTATGTTTTAATAACATTAAAAATGCCCATTTCTTTTGAACCAACAAGTCACCATTTAAGGACAATCAAGTAGTAAGGAAAAAAAAAAAGCTAAAAAGTCAGGTGCCAACTACAATAAAGTCCTTATATATACATCTAGTTTCCAGTTTACAAAAGGTTATACGTGTAGCACTAAAAAGCTGCCACAGTAAATGAGTGAGTGATGCCATTTTACACATGGAGCCATGGGAAGGGACAAGCGCGTGTCAGAAAACTGTTATGTTGCTAACGTGTTCTTGTATAACCATAGTCCTAAAGTGGGACTCGAATCCTGTCCAAGTCCTCAAGAGTCAAACTCCGGAAAAGGAGACACTGATCGACAAACTCCTACAGGGGTACCTGACAGCAGGTGAGCCCTGTGAGATGAGGTTAGGTGCATCCTGACCAAGTGACCCAACCCTTGTCCCTGACTCACTCTGTCCTCCATTTACAGCCAAAAGGGCAACTCAGAGTGGGGCCGGATATGCTGAGCGAGTACTTGCCAGGGCCCCATACTCACCTTACCCTCAGGAAGACCCAGATTTCAGGTGAACTCGTCCTGTGACAGCGCCTCTGGCCAATCAAAAGCAAACTGCTCTACCCACTTCGCCCCCACTTCCCCAGTCCAGCTTCTGCCTCCATGGCAACAGCCACGCCTACCGTTAAAGAAAACAGAAGATACAGGTTTGGAGGTAGCTGAGACGAAAGCATCAAAGAGGAGTTGGGTAAAGGTTTGTCTGATACGATCACATGAAATGTTGGGGCTGAGGGGGAAGCCTGTCCAAGGACAACCCGGAAAGGCCAACAGTAACAATTTACCCATATGATCAGAGATGTACCTAAAGATGTGTGAACTCAGTAGATATGAGAGTGTCTGCACTTAAACCCAAAGTCCCTGAGGGCAAGGCCTCTGTTGCCTTTTCTATCACTGTATTTTTATCTCATAGGATTGGCACACAGGTGTTCAATAAAGTTTTTTGCACTTAGATGCAAAAATGTTTAATAAATCCAATCTAGAACACTATAAATAGCTCATTCCAGTAATAAAAAGAAGATATTCCAATTCCAGTGGACTGTTCTATACAATGGATTATAGAGGGAAGGGAGTCCCATGAGCATTGTTACGTGTTAAAAAGAGTTTGCAAACTTCAACAGCCTCTCCTTATACATTCTTAGCAAACAGTGCAACCAGGAGGCCACCTATGAACAATAAAGATTTACCTCAAATAAAAGCAAGCAAATATATTAAACACTAAAGGTATTCCAACTAAAAGTGGAGGCCAGGAAAGGAGGTCCTTCACAACCACCATGCAACACTATTCTGGAAAAATCTAGCTAACACAACTGAAGACAAAGAAATGAAAGGCATAATGTGGAAAAGGCATTATTTTGAGCTGACAAGCCTGTCAGTAAATACAAGGGAAAAAATCCCATTAATAGCAAAATAAATAAATTCCCATAAATAAATTCAAACTATCTGCAACTCCAAACAAATCTTTTTAAGCATATAGAAGGACATAAAACAAGTCCTATGTACATGAAGACATGTTTTTGGATGGGAATGTGGAAATTGTCAATCCTTCCTTGAACATACATACATTAAAATCCAATAAAAGGATGGGGAGCTTTGACAAATCGAGAATCCAGTTCCTCTAGAAGAATAAGTGTACAAAACTATCAGGACAATCCT